CACTGAGGCGTTACGCGCTTAAAGTAACCCCTGAGTGGATACAAAACAAAGGGCTAACTTCGCCCTCTCGGTGAAGTGTCACAAGGAAGAGAAAATGAAAAATTCCCTTGATGACGTCACTCGTCGTGAGAGGAAAGGAGATGACGAAAACGGAAAGTAAACAAAAACATTCCGGCTGCGACGTCGCGATCGTCGCGAACCGTGATTTTACCCGTTTTCGTCGGTTTAGGGTGCTTTTCTCCGGATGAAAAGCACCATCGGTCGTGTGTTTGAGTCCTCCCCGCTGGAAGGAAGTGTTTTTTTTTTGATTATCCCCGTGGAAGAGGGGTCTTTTGGTGAATTTATAGTCACACGGACTACCCCACAGGAGTGTTTGATTACCTCCCGCTGATGGGAGGAGTGTTAATTTAATTTTATTTGGCCTTCAATCGGCCTGTTAGTAAACCTGCGTTTCACGGGGCAGTATTTTGGTGTTTGCTGCGAATTAAGGCAGCTACCGTGGGAATCTCCCATGGATGTTTCCTCGACAGTGGAGGATACTGGTGGTGACCCTCCCAAATAAGGAGATTGGTGCTAATTGCTGCGATCAGAGGCAGCATCCGAGGAATCGGGCCTATCAGCGAAGGGAAGAAGAATTTACCGCTCGTTCGCTGATTACCATACTACTTCCCAGCCGAATGTTGTCCTTCGGAAGCTCCCAAGTGAACAACCTGAGGAAGAAAACAACAAACGCAAGGAAGCAGCAGGTCGTAGAAAGGCTGTAGCAAAGCACTTCTGGTAAGTACATTGGAGTAAAATTGAAAGGAGCAAATGTGACTAATTCATGTTTTTGCCTTTTAGGTCGACCCCAACAAATTATTGACGATGCAGTGGAGTCCACTGTTATGCTATATTGGCTGGAGAAAACATCCCGGAGTTCGAACAGGGAATATTGCTTTGAGAAAGAAGCGAAAACAGAGATGTTGAGCTCCGGGGCGAACTAAATTTTTAAAAATTTGAACATAAGGGGTTCTTGTCCATTGAATTAGTTGGACCTTATCCCATGTTTTAAACAATAAGGGCAATGGGAATACTCGAATCCTTTAAACCCACACACCGCACAGAATACCCGTTTTGGTTTAGAACACGCTTCATGCTCGTGTCCTTTGGTCCCGCAATTATAGCAGACACCGAGGTTTGGTGGACGATGTTGGTTCACCAAGAAGTCTAAACAGATAATGGTTTTCTGTGGCTGTGTGGATTTAAAATGTTGATTGGTTTTCCCGTGGAGATTTTTATCCGTCTGGCCATCCACGTCTCTTGGTCGGTTGGGCGACGAATTTCGAATTTCTGGGGAAGGTGGTCGACCATTTCTATTCCAAAAAATCCTACTTCTTGATTTTGATGAATCCCCGTTTCCACCCTGCTGTTTCTGATTCTCTCTAAAATCAGCTAATACAGGTTTTTCGGAGATTGCAGCGACTTCTTTGGAACTGCCGAATACCTTGTAGTAAATGGGAGTTCTAGAAGCATCGATTGATTTACCGAGGCAAAGTAATTCAGCAAGCGTGTTCACCGGTTTGGTAATAAGAACCTGTTTATAATCAGGCCTAAGATTACGCTTGAGAAGCTCGAGCTTCTCGCTTGGGGATAGTGGCGTAGTCATGGCTCGGAAAATTGACTCCATTTCCAGGTAAAACTGCTGGAAGGATTCGTTCCGTTGTTGGCGACGCTGAGACGCTTTCATCTTCAGCGTGGCGTCGAGTTCCGGGTGAAAGAAATTCGCCTTTAACTCGCATACAAGATGATTCCAATTGAAGAGTCGCTTTTGCGACCGCATAGCCTTATACCACGCCAGAGTATTCCCGATGAACAAGTGCATCGCTGAATTAAAAAGTTCCTCTTCCGAAATCTGCTCTGATTCCGCATAGTGGTGAACAGTTTCCAAAAACTCGTTCAGTCCAGTCCCTTCATCATTCCCAGCGTATTTATGAATCTTCCAGTCGGCCACCCGTTGTGGTCGACGATAGTACGCGGGTGGTTCAACCGATCCTACACTTCTCCCTTGATTTGGGTAAGTGTAGTTAGGGAGTGTAGGTTGTTTGAAGCGATTCTGAGAATGATAACCAGGTTGGATGAATTTTTTTGAACTGTTCCACAAACCAGAATCCCCTATGTTCTGAATGTTTGCTTTATTTGTAGGCATCGAATATTGCCTTAACAAATCAACTAGATTGTCTGATTCTACCGTTGGTTGCCGGACATCATGCAGTTCCGGATGTTCTGGAATTTCATCCAATCCAAGATCATCCCTTCTGGGCGGCGGATCTTGAACAACAACGTGTGGAAGAATTTGGTTTATGATACACTGCAATCCCGAAACCGTATCACGAAGCTCTTCAACTTCCTGATTCGTTTTCTTTAGATCAGCAGCAATCTTCGTAATAACAGTTATCTCGCTGCTCAGGCTCTTGACCGCACGTTGGAGAGAGCTTACTCGTATATCACTACGAGACTCATTCAGCGAGATTTGGTCCTGTACGCTTCTAATCTCCGCCCTTATATCACGTAAGACATTCAAAAGTTCTTCTCCTACGGTTTTGTCACTTGGATTTTCAACAACTTGTTGTCCATCTTGATTCTGTGGTGTGATTTCCGGATCAGGATTTTGATCCACCAAATCATCATCGCCAACTTCGTCCTCTTCTTCCTCGTTGGTCGGCGGAGTAGGGGCAGGACTGTCCCCGAAGTGATAGTCCCATAAAGCGATCACTTCCTGTAAACATTTCCTAGTGACCGAAAACTCCTCCCCTACAACATATTTTTCCAAGAGTTGGAGCCGGACTCCCAAATGAAGTAACCTGCTCCGAAATATCTCCTTATTTGGACACCTATACTGTAAATCTTCCCTCATGGACTCAAACTTCCCACGACACGTTCCGAATTCGACTTGAGCATCCCCTTTGAACGACCGAACAGCATTCGTAGCTAGCACTATCTCGCTGTTCAGCAATCCCCTCAATCGACGACGTCTTTGTGATCCCGATTTATCCGACTCAGGAAGGATGACAACACCACGGGAGTTTAATTCAAAGTCAACCTCGTCGGGATGCAAATGATCAACGCGTAGATGCAGATACGCCTCATTGAACTCCGTCAACGTCAACGGTCTGCGTGCCATGTTCAAAAATGAATGGATCACAGATTCAAAATACGGAGATAAATTAAAACCTGCCAACTGTGGAGTGGAGTATGAATACGGTAAGGACCCTTTTTCATTTACTGACGATTCCCTATGATTTTAGGTCACCAAATGTTGCGAATGTCAACCCAAATCGGCTCAGAGGATTTGAAAGCCCCGCTCTGAGAACAAAGTGCTCCGAGATGACGACAACTCGTTCTGCAGACGATGAAATGAAGCGATTCACCGATTAGGAATAAGACAAACACAACAAATAATATTAAACGAACCGCGCCTATTGTGGAAAAAGCCTCACCACTGTTTATTCCACCCAAAATCCAAACTTTGGTGGAAGTACCCCACGCTCGGAAGAAAAAATATTCCTTAAGAATATTTTTTCCTTGTGTATGTTAACGTTGGGCGCCAATTGTAAGTTGGTGCTTACTTGCCAGCCTATAGCTGGCCCGATTTACCCCGGCGGGGCGGCTACGAGCAGAGTACTTCCCCCAAAGACGTTCGGATTTGGATTGATTGTTAAGAAAAGAGAAAGAAAAGTACAATTTAAGACGTCTATTATCCTCTAACCTTTCCCTTTTCTCCTCGTTATCCTCGGTGTCACTCGGTGGGGCCCTTCGACGATAGCGGTGGCGGTTGCAGATCGTACTGCTTTACGTTGGCTCCAGACACGGTCTGTGCCGAGCGTTTTCTCCTTCACTTTAGCTGCGTAGCAGCGGTCCTTGGCGTTTAGCGGGGGGGATGAGCAAGGCTCCTTTATCGGAACCCCCTCGGCGACGATGGTGACGAATCACCGGACCAACTACTCGCCGTAGATGGTCCCGGTAGTCACCGCAGTGCACTACCCAGGCGAACGCTCCTTCGGTTCGACCTGCTTCGTCCCTCCTTGGCTCTTAACTGCGGTGGCGAGACTGGCTCTACTGGCTGAGCCACCGCAGTGAGGACGGTGGGTGTTCGGGGATCCTTGGGGTTTAGCCGGGAAGCGGAAAAATCCTCGAAATTTAGCTTCCCTTGGCGGCGATCCGACACCCTTCACTTCAGCTCACGAACCACGGCACTTTTAGGGGAGACGTCACTTCCACGCGACGGGGCTGGGAATTATCCCTCCAGCGGACACACGCCACGAAAACGGCACTCCAACTTCTCGTTTTCACTTCAAACGGACGGGGCAAAAAACGCGTCGATTTCCTACCGTGGCTCGTAACTTTCTCTTCGCTGTACTACTTGACAATCACCGACAATACAACAACCGCCATCGTTCTCCTGCAACCGCGCTCGAATGTTGTGCTGGTTATGTTTTTCGCTTTATTTTGCAGCGGGAGGAGAAACGGGACCTAGCTTTATTCTACACGCGAGACAATTTTGAACGATAATTTTTACACTATATTCTAATCCTAAAAACATGCCTACACGAATAAAATCTACGATGAAAATAACAAATTAAAATATTTACAAATAAAGCAGTGGTGAGTATGTTGCCGAGCGTGCGACCAAAACAAAAACAAATCATAACAGACAAGGCACACGCTCATGGTAAACACGTTAAAAGGGTGGGTTATCAATTGTCACCCTAGACGAGGGTTACAGAGTGTGGTCCCCTTGGACCGACCATGCATTAGGTATAACACACGATTGAAGTGCATCCACTTTCATGTGATATCAAAATTATTGTTTTGCTATGTAGCAGACTGCAAAATGTTTCATCACCCCATAATTTGTCCTACCCATATATTTGAACGTGAATGTGCTTTTGTTTGCAATAATCATAACCAGTTCAGAATTACTCACCTACCTCTATGTTATTTCCTTTTCCCTCCCCCAACAGGAGGTTGTGCCGCATTCGGTCATGCCTGCTACGGGGGCCACGGCAAACGGTCTTCATCGCTGCCGGAAAATCTTCTTCTCGGCAGCAGTGGCTCGGGGGGCTTCAGTAGCGGTCAGCTCGATCGGATACCACCTCTCCCATATGCCAAGCTTGCCCTGATCAACCGAAGCAAACCCTACGACGTCGGCGCACCGGAACTGAGACTGACTGCCAACGAGCTGGCCACGGACAATGGTGAACCCCTAGCCTACCCGGCTCCGAGCCGATCTGAACGACAGGACAAGTTCGAACGAGGTGTACGATATGCAGTCAATGCCATCCTGCGACAGTTGGTGAGTGCGTTGATTCGCGAAAAGTAAAGCAGTGCTAATTTTGTAATTTTCCCTAATAGCTGGAAGAGAGCCAAGCAGGTCCGCTTCAACGTCAACCGTCATCGTCGGATTTGAACTTCCAGCCCAGCGAAGCGGGCCAACTGCAGCAGGAACAGCAACTAATGGACAACGAGCAAAAGTAAATTCTGCAAACTACCCCCTCCTCCCCTCCCACCCCCCCTCTCTCACTCTCTCTATTTCCCGCTATGATACGAAGAGACTGACTGACACTGAATACAGGCAGCAACTGTATCGATGAATGGTGGTTTTTACGGCAGCGTGTGAGTTGTGCGGTGGTTCATTCATCGAAACATAAATAATGAATCAAGAGCAGCGATTTTTTTCATTCGGTTTGTTTTAAATTCGTTCGTTTGTAGCGCGTCTTTTCCCGTAAATCCCAATGTTTTATGCTCCCCCCATGTTACGAAAAGTGACGATGGAAAAAACACGACAGAGAAATTATGAATCTGAGTATGAATGCACGAAACATCTCTTTCTCTCGCACTGTTTCCGTGCAATGTATTGTATAAACATATACTTTAGAGAAAAGAAACCAAAAAATCCTGAAGGATAGAGCAGTTTCGAGTGCAATCAGAAAAAAATAAAATAAAGAAATGATGAAACGGTAAGAGGTAATTGTATAGAAAGTGAATCCTTTCATTCAATCTCCCAGGAGAAATGAAGGAAAACTATGTCAATATGCAAAAGTTGTTGTTGAAATTTAAACTTAGGAGAGAAAACATAACTAAAAAGGTGTTACACTAAGAAAAAGTGCACCCGAAAACGAGATAAGAAAAATAAGCACACACAGTCAAAAACATGAACATACAAATAAAAAATGTGGAGATAATAGTTGAATGAAACTCGTGAGGCTGGAACAGTTTTATTTAACTATTACCAAAATAATTTTTTGTCAATGTAATTTTCACTGCTGATTCGAAACGTCCCCCATACCGCTACCTCCCCAGTTGATCTATTGAATCTCTTTTCCACTGGGGCACTGAGACGGCAGGACGCACTTCCCGTCAAACTGGTTTCGCCAGAACCCATCTTTGCAAAAACATCCTGTTTTGCAAACGATCGGACAACGGAATGGCCCGTCGGCGGGACCTGGTTGGCACAATGGCTCGTACTTTTTGGTACACACCAGAAAGTGTTCGTTGGGGCCGCAGATCCCTGGAAGGAGTGGTTGATGGGTTAAATTTTTTGTTGATTTAGTATAAAAGTGATAAGTACAGCTATTGGACTCGCACGTAACGAACACGCTTAAAACGGTAAGAAACGGTATGATGGTAAGAACGAGCTTCATCGCTGATGTTTAGAAATAGTTGGGTACTGATCACAGTTGAGGGGCAAGAAACAATGACACAATGAAAAAAATATGACTGCGAAAGAAGTGGTTTTGAACTAAAAGCCGGTGTTTTATGGCGCTATTTCTTTATATAGTCACATTATAAGAACGTTAAAAGTTGCTGAACGCTCTGCCATGATTGATGGCTTATGAATACCACTGATTTATTGCCTACACTGTTAGTTGTCAACCCGGGAGCCTACGAGCGATTTGAGGAGCTCTGTGACAAGGCACCAACAGCAGCACTTGACAGTAGGCAACATGTCCCGGGTTCAAATCGTTTATTTTGCTGTGCTGGGCCCGCTGTCACTGTATAATATCAAGACCAACAATTGAAATGGCCTTATACCCTGGACAGACTATGGCTTATATCACGTAATATAGGCTGTCTTGCAATGAGCACTCATACATAGGATTTCCAGTGAAAACTAGATGTATGAGTGCTCATTGCAAGACAGCTTATATTACATGATATAAGCCATAGTCTGTCCGGGGTATTAACTCCATTTTGTAAACAAACCTTGTAAGGTCATTTTCTCGCGAAACGAAACCTTCATTCGCAAACCTTAACCACAATCGGGTAGAGGAGAATTTCCCCTACCTGTTCATTATGTTGGTTTGCCTTTGCGGACTTCGGTTCGCGAGAAAATGGCCTTACACGGTTTGTTTTCAAAATGGAGTTAAATCCATTTCAATTGTTGGTCTTGATATGTTGCCTACGCGCCTGCCACTGGGCTGGTAAGATACGATATACCTACGATATATATTATCCCAAATAGTTCGGTATATTCAGCAACACCCAAAATCATGAGTAATATTGATGAAATTTTGCAACGGGAGAAAAATTCAGAAACATTGGAACTGGGATTGTCAACTCTACATGCCTACATTCGATTTATGGCGTGGATGCTAAACGTAAGCTACATGAGCAAGAGCATGTACATGCTTGACCGCCCACGGTTGCTACTCTGTTATTGCCAGATCAGCAGTAATTACACAGAGAACCAATAGACGATGCTTGGGACTAGAATTCATACACAATGTGTAAAAACTGATGACCTTTCTCACACTTGGAAATACCAGCGCCAGCTGCGCCCGAACGCAGCTCAAGAAAGGAATAGGGTAGGATTGTGTTGACGTGACACTCGCTTTATTGGAAGCCGATAACACCTCTACACTTCCACGAGGAATCACTGAGATGTTGGTGTTGGGTTGGGGGTTGCAGCAGGGTTCGTTTTGGTAAACGATAAGCTGAATTCTTCAAGGTCTTCTGTTCATTAAGCAAAAATGTTTGTCACTAGGCAAACGAGCTCCTTTTAATCATCGAGTTGCTGTTATTACCATGTAGTCATATTAACAAATATAACGATTGACGAATCTGTAAGTTTCGGCTTACCTGCCAGCCTATATCTGGCCCGATTACCCCTTAGCTACAAGCAGAGTACTTCCCCCAAAAACGATCGGATTTGGATGGATTGATAGGAAAATAGAGAGAGATGTAATTTTACTACGTCTATTCTAATCTGACCTTTTCCTTTTTCTCCTCACTGTCCTCGGTGTCACTCGGTGGGGCCCTTCGACGACGGCGGTGGTTACGGTTTTACTGGTTCACGTTGGCTCCAGATACGGTCTGTGCCGAGCGTTTTCTCCAACTTCAGTTTTGGCTGCCTAGCAGCGGTCCTTTACTTTTAACAGGGGGATGAGCAAGGCTTCTTATTCGGAACCACCCGGTGACGATGGTGACGAATCACCGAACCGGTCAACTCCACGCTGACAGTCCTGATAGCCACCGCAGTGTACTATCCAGGGGAACGCTCCTTCGGTTCCTGCTGCCTCGCTTTCCTTGGCTATTAGCAACGAAGGGGAATCTGACTCGTTCGGCTCACCCTTTGTTGCGAGAACGGCGAGTGTATTATCGATCCTTTTCGTTTAGTCGGGGAAGTGAAGAGATCCTTAATGATTAGCTTCCCCGCGATGGCGATCCTACACTCTACTGTGCTGTGTTTCAAAACCACGGCTGGAAGTTTTCGGGGGAACTCCACTGACACACCCGGTAATGCTGGGGATGACGCGCGCCACGTAAACGGCACAAAAAAAGTTGGAAGGGTTGTATACTAGATACGACCGCAGGGTTGGCGTTGGATAACGTCTGTTATGTGTTGTACTTAATTGTGTATATTATATTTTAGGAATATTCCTTAATAATTCTTTTGCGAAAGTTTGGTGGCCGTGAAAAGGGCCGTTTTGTTGGGCTGATGTTGTTGACAATGATGGAATGGGCGACCTTGTTGGACGCTTATATAGTAGAACAGAAAATATCAGAGGTGTCAGATACTCGCATACGTACGTTAAACTCTTTCTTGATAATGTTGTGGCCATTTTTCCAACGCCAAAGGGCCATTTTTCCAACGCGCTCGGCGTAGTTGCCCTTGCGGAGCAGACGGTGAATACGACCAACTGAGAACTGCAGCAGCTGGGCATTCCATGACGGCGGCCCAGTATACTGGAGCACTGGCACCAACGCACTTGGCGTAGTTGCCCTTTCGCCCCCAGGCTCTGCTGCCGTTGCTCTGCTTCCGCTGCTCTGGTACTGCTCTCTGCTGCTCTGCTGCTGGGTCGACGATCGGATAGACAATGATGGAACGGGCGACCTTGTTGGACGCTTATATAGTAGAACAGAAAATATCAGAGGTGTCAGATACTCGCATCTGATGTCTCGGTTGGAGAAAGTATAAGAATATAAAAAAAATCAATCGATTTTCACCATCTTTAGACAATGGTTTACTTTTAACCATTTTTCAATAGTTTACAGAATCAAATCAATAGTTTTGAAACATTCAGCAAATTGCTAGAAATATTTCCAATCGATTGATGCCATTATCTCGTAAATCTATCGAGAGACGGTTGAGTTATTATCGTTCAAAATCTTTTAATTTTTCCGCATCCAAAATGACTGTTTTCAAGTTTGTACCCCCGTATGTTGCCGAAAGACGTTATCCAACGTCAAAAAAACTTTTAGCGGAAAATGAACGGATGGGACAAAAAACGCGTCGTACTCCTTTCGTTGTTCGAAACTTTCTATTTTGGTAACAATCATGGACAACCACGCTTGACTATTATGTTGATTATGTTTTCGTCTTTTTTTGCAGCGGGAGGAAAAACGGGGCCTAACTTTAATACAACGCGAAACAATTTAAATCGATAATTATTATCCTACAGTTTAAAACACCTAACATAACTATTCGAATAAAATAACAAATAATGACAACAAAAACAAAACATAACAAACACAAAGGCACACGCTCGTGTGAAACAAGTCAATTAATTTCATTACAAATTTAGTTAAAAACAAAATCTACACATGTTCGTCACTGACAGCATTGTCATTGACAATTGACATGGTTTGCCTTGTCGATGAATGTTACTCAAATGTGTGACCAAAGCATAATTGTTAATATCACCATGTATAGAGATTAGTGACGTTTAACGCACGCACACTAACGGGGCAAGGGGTAAGACAGCTCCTAATCATGAGCAATTTTAGAGTTGCTTTTGAGACACCTTGAGTAACTCACATTGCTCAATGAGCAAGATCACTGTCATTTGCATTCTCACTTTTCACATCACAGCAACTTATAAAAATGCGAAGTCGAAAAGCTGCTGTCAAGCAAAACAACAACAAACAACCGTCTTGATGTGGTAGAAGAACTCGATCCGCCTGACCAAATACTCCAGATCCAGCTAAACACTAAATTTAAATCGCTGAAACTCAGTAGAATTTTGCTGATTTTAGACTTGATGAAAGATCAGCAAACTTTCCAGCAAAATAATGCGACAGAATTTACCAGCAATTCCAACTTCTGTCAAAATGACAACATTTTACTGACAATCAGCAAAAGTTTCAGCAATATTTCTTCACTGATTTTTCAGCAATAAGAAATTCTGACAGCGCACAGCATTTTGCTGAATAAACTCAGTATCTCAAACTTATTTTCACACTCATTTCAAACAGACATAACACTCACAATCACATTCATCGCAAATAATGTTTTAGTTGGGAATGTGCTTTCATTTGTCATGGTGGCGCCACTGAAGCATTGAGCAAGCCACCACATTTCGAACTTATCAGTGATGCCAGTTCTTTTTCACGTCTAGTTAGTAGATTTCAGCTCTTGAAAATGATAAGTGGTCAAGGCATTCCGCTAGAGACACATACCACATCTGACCAATACAGAAAAAAAAGTTGTCGGATATTACATCAAAACTGCTTCACAGTAGTCATTCCGTTCCTAATATTACGTTGTACGATGTACACAGAATTGTGCGTGTATGTGTGTGTCATCCTCTATCCCTCACCCAGCTGGGGGCGTTGGACAAGTAGAACTGCGAATAATTTGATCAAATCTCATGCTCCGTAATGGTGCCCTTTATGTTGTGAAGACTAGTACTGTAACCCGCCAGCCCGTCAAGCTTTCCGTTTGTTAGATGGGTGGCTTAAGCGCCACTCCTAGAAGGAGACCACCCA